CATCCTGGTGACAGATTCTGCACACTAACAATCCAAAGCAGTACAAACCAACACATGCTTATTTTTATCATCTGAATCAGATACCAACAGCAGAAAGTTGAGTTTCTTTTTGGTGGTTGAATTCTGTAGTTTCTGCATCAGAGTGTTGCTCTTAAGATTTCTGAAAGTGTGTACCCCACACCTCATCCCTCTCCGATTTTGGAAAGCATTTCAGATTCTTAAATCTTGGGTTGAGAGCTGTAGCTATTTTTAGAAATAACATATTGATACCCACTTTTGTTTTGTCAAATCTGCAATTAGTGTTCTTAAAAACAAATATGTGCTCAGTCATCTGAGACTGCTATAACATGAAATACAGGACAGAATGTGGGTAAAACAGAGGAGGAAACACAGCTGTTGTCCTACAAGTTCAGTCACAAATTTAATAAAATTATTAACTTGTATCATAGAATCATAGAATAATAGGACTGGAAGGGACCTCGAGAGGTCATCGAGTCCAGCCCCCTGCCCTCAAGGCAGGATCAAGCTCCGTCTACACCATCCCTGACAGATGTCTATCTAACCTGTTCTTAAATATCTCCAGAGAGGGAGATTCCACCACCTCCCTTGGCAATTTATTCCAATATTTGACCACCCTGACAGTTAGGAATGTTTTCCTAATGTCCAATCTAAACCTCCCCTGCTGCACTTTAAGCCCATTACTCCATGTCCTGTCCTCAGAAACCAAGAGGAACAAATTTTCTCCTTCCTCCTTGTGACACCCTTTTAGATATTTGAAAACCACTATCATGTCCCCCCTTAATCTTCTTTTTTCCAAACTAAACAAGCCCAGTTCATGAAGCCTGGCTTCATAGGTCATGTTCTCTAGACCTTTAATCATTCTTGTCACTCTTCTCTGTACCCTTTCCAATTTCTCCACATCTTTCTTGAAATGTGGCGCCCAGAACTGGACACAGTACTCCAGCTGAGGCCTAACTAGTGCAGAATAGAGCGGCAGAATGACTTCACGAGTTTTGCTTACAACACACCTGTTGATACAACCTAGAATCATATTTGCTTTTTTGGCAACAGCATCACACTGTTGACTCATATTCAACTTGTGGTCCACTATGACCCCTAGATCCCTTTCCGCCATGCTCCTTCCTAGACAGTCGCTTCCCATCTTGTATGTATGGAACTGATTGTTCCTTCCTAAGTGGAGCACTCTGCATTTCTCCTTATTAAACCTCATCCTGTTTACCTCTGACCATTTCTCTAACTTGCTAAGGTCATTTTGAATTATGTCCCTATCCTCCAAAGAAGTTGCAACCCCACCCAGTTTGGTATCATCTGCAAACTTAATAAGAGTACTCTCTATCCCAATATCTACATCATTGATGAAGATATTGAACAGTACGGGTCCCAAAACAGACCCTTGAGGAACTCCACTTGTTATCCCTTTCCAGCAGGATTTAGAACCGTTAACAACAACTCTCTGACTACGGTTATCCAGCCAATTATGCACCCACCTTATCGTGGCCCTATCTAAGTTATATTTGCCTAGTTTATCAATAAGAATATCATGCGAGACCGTATCAAATGCCTTACTAAAGTCTAGGTATATGACATCCACCGCTTCTCCCTTATCCACAAGGCTCGTTATCCTATCAAAGAAAGCTATCAGATTAGTTTGGCATGACTTGTTCTTCACAAACCCATGCTGGCTATTCCCTATCACTTTATTACCTTCCAAGTGTTTGCATATGATTTCCTTAATTACCTGCTCCATTATCTTCCCTGGGACAGACGTTAAACTGACCGGTCTATAATTTCCTGGGTTGTTCTTATTCCCCTTTTTATAGATGGGCACAATATTTGCCCTTTTCCAGTCTTCTGGAATCTCCCCTGTCTGCCATGATTTTTCAAAGATCATAGCTAAAGGCTCAGATACCTCCTCTATCAGCTCCTTGAGTATCCTGGGATGCATTTCATCAGGACCTGGTGACTTGCTGACATCTAACTTTCCTAAGTGATTTTTAACTTGTTCTTTGTGTATTTCCCAACCATCCCACGTTGATGTTGGTGAAATGGCCCTTTTGATTCACCAGCACCTGCAGTACCATGGAGAAGTACCCCGTGTGGTTCAAAATGAGAATGTGTATTCCGTCTAACCCAGGGGTGTCCAAACTTTTTTCAAAGAGGGCCAGATTTGATGAAGTGAACATGCATGAGGGCTGACCATTTTGCCTGACATTCTTTGAACCATTAAAATTAAATGCAAATTAACTATTTTATGCAAAGTTTATTGCAAACGGCAAACGACATAACACCAACTATACATGTTGTGTCCAAATATATTTATAACTGATTTAGACCAACTGACATTAACTGAGATTTTACAATGTATTCATCTCAATTGAAAAAAAAACTTGCCTACACTAATGTGAAGGGTGAAACTGAGATCTGGACTGCAGTACATAGGCTAGGTCTGGTTCAAAGGCAGTGGTTTTGATGCGCAAAATGTCACGCAGGTGAGAGTCACTTAGTCTTGTCCTCACGCGGTTCTTGTTAAAGTTCATAGCAGAGAATGTCTTCTCACACATATATGTTGAGCCAAACAAGCTCAGCATTTTCTTAGCCAATGTTCGAATCTCTTGAAACCGGCTCTTATCCAGTTGGCGGTAAAAGTTCACAAGAGAGAGCTGTTGGTCATCACCGTTAGGGAACCCAATCGCAGCAAAGCCATCTGCTATGGTGTCAATGTTCCCCAGAGTCCCCTACTTGTATGACAACAGCCCCCAGTATCAATTTCCCTCTTCCAAACTAATTCCTGACTGACTGGTAGCTATCTGTGTTGCAAGCTTTCATAGGGCAATTGCCACACTATTCTCCACAGTCAGAGCAGGTGTCATTTGGGTATCCTAGTGCCTGAGCACCGGGGCAAGCCATTCGCCGTTTCAAGAAGGTGATCTTGTGCATTCGGAAGTTCGGTAGCCTGTGCTGATCGTCCCATCCCTATATCACAATGCAATCCCACCACTCTGAGTTTTCTCCTGCTGCCAGAACTGGCATTGCACTGTGTCCAGAGGACTGACTGGCAGGTGCGATAGCATGAGCATCGGGTCTTGCCTGAGCAGTGCCTGCATGTCACACCGAGCTTTGTCCTCGTCCTCTTCCTGGCAGAGTGCCATGCATACATTCTCCAAGTACTGCGCCATAAGGTGCACCACAACAGATGTGAGCATGACTATGGTTTGCTGCAAACTGGGCTCCATGCCGGCACTGTTATGGTGTCTGTGTGGGCGATCAAGGCACCATGAAGTGCAAATATACTGCATCCCCCTTATCTCATGCAAGGGGACTAGAAGAGTGCATTCTGGGACTCTGGCAATGAGTCTCTAACCATCTGTTGCCCAGTTTTGGTCCCAGCAAAGCTTCTCATAGTACATTGCTCTGAGTGGATGGTAGGCTTCCTAATGGGGACGTGGTACTTTCGATGACCTTTGACTTCTTGAAATCAGTTGCCCAGAAACTGATCATAGTAGATTCAACATTATCTTGTAGTGTAAACATGCCCTTAATGCAATGCAAGGAAAATATAGAATCATGAACTCGGGTTTGGCAAGTAAATAAAAGGAAACAATTTTGTTTAACTTGTTTCTGGAAACTTAACACTGCAGGAACTGTTTCAAAAACAGCAAAACTACATCTGAAATTGTCTCTTTCCATTTGAAATTTTAACAAGGGTCTGGTATTCCAAAAAGTATTTTGGTTGCCCTTTAGCATATTCCACATTTGATTGTTCATTGCTAAAAGGAAAACTATAAATTTTTCTTAGTCTGAGATGAGGAGGGAAACTAGGTCTCCCCTCCTCCCCTCCTCCGTACATGTTCAAATTTACTGAAAGGACATTTATCATGTACACGCCTTAACTATCAGACTAGCCAAAGAATTTGGTATTTCAGTTCAAATCCATCCCATATGTGGAGTTAACTTCCATATGAGCCATTCCCCCATCAGGGCTGTGGGTTATTCCAGCAATTCTTTGCATTAATGAGAAAGTTCTGTTTGCTGGGTGTGGTTTCCAAAATACTGTGTGATCCCTTACTACTTTGTCTGCTTTGACTGTACTTTGGCAGTTGTTTAATCTCATTAATTAAATATGCCATCTTTACTAATTATGTGCTGTCTTTACTATATATGGAGCATGGGGGTTGAAGTTCAGAAAACAAACCAGACAGGTAGGGCTATGTGAGGACACTCAACAGCTTAAGAAGTTTTTAAATGTGCTTTAACTTCACACTCCTGTGCAGAAACAGGTTAAATCTCTTTAGTCTGGTACTCTCTGATCTGGAATTATTTTAGTTACCTGGATGTCCACTTATCCTGGGTATGGCCAATTTTCTCATGGTCCCAAAAAGTTTGTTTATAGCCACCAGTCCAGGCTCTTGGTGTTCTGTGCTGTTGTTTAACTCTGATTTTCCCTAAATGTCTTCTCAGAGTCCAATAAGCCATGGAAGTGTTGTAATTCTGCTAGAAAATATTAACCCATAATATAAATACGGTCCGGTCAGGTCCCAAGAGTGCTGGACTAGAGAGGTTCAACCTGTACTCTCATTCAGAAATAAAGTTGCCTTAAGGCAAGCCATGTGCTTTAACTTCACACTGTTTACTTAAAGCATCTTAACTTTTCTGAGCCTCCTCAGGTAAGCTAGCCCTTAATGGGATCATACTGCAATTGAATGAAACTGAAAGCATTATCATGATTTAAGAATGCAAGTTATTTCTGTACTGTTCACAATACATATAAATATGTATATTTACCACTTTTAATATTGCCTGTTTAAAATGTTAATACATTAACATACTATAACGTTGACCTATCTTTTAAAACCATTTCTAATGTAGCTTCTGTGACTCTTTTGTTATAACCAGATACATTATGATGTATGTTTCCTATTGCACTTTAAATACACTTCTCTCTTTTCTTTTCTTTTTTTTATTATTATTATTACTACAAGACGTCAGCAAGTTGCTCCGAGGGCAGGCACACCAGGATTCAGAGCACCAGAGGTGTTGACTAAGTGCCCTGCTCAGACTACAGGTAGTTTGCATCTGACTGATATTAGTGACTCTTCTACATTTTGATCTTTCCCATTTGCACATACTACTTTATCTCTGATTCTATGAAAACTGTTTCTCTTTACATAAGGAATTCGTTTTATTGTCCTTTCTAACATTGTTCAAGCATTTCCTGTTTTCTATTAAAGCATTTCTTACTCAGAATGAAGAACAAGTTAAGAATGTTTTAACATGTTTGAAACATGAATAAATCTTAATTTATTTAAGGTACAGTGCAGCAGTTCACTAGAGTTTGTATTTTTAAAGAGACAGAACTTTCAGCTTTTTCCAACTTTTTGGCTGTGTTGATTTAAGTGTTCTGAAATGCCCTTCCCACCCTGCCCTGTTTATGCTTTAAAAGAGAGATTGTATGAAACTGTGTTTGATTTCAGAGAAAACATAATTACCACAGTATGTTTGCAAATATTCTCAAGACAACAGGAAAAACTGATGCAGATCTTTGCAGGCATCCAGAAATCAATGGAAATTAGATAAATAATCTTAATATAGTTAATAGTTGAATAATCAATATTGCTTCTATTCAGGTTCCTCTAATCTCCACAACTTTTACTCCTAAGTACCAAAAGTCAGGGTTCAGACTTCAAAAAGCTTTTTTTTTTTTCTTCTTGAGATGCGTACTTATTAGGTTGCCAGTTAAAACATACACTCTGAGTTCAAAATTATCTGAAGATAAAGACCATTATAGCCTAGTAGTTCAAAGGAAAAAGATGGTTAGTCTGTAAATAAGACCACTGATGTAAATACCATGGAACGGAGTATGTTTATGTGAAAAGTGAAAGGCAGTATTCAGTGAAGATTAAATATAAAAGGAAATGCAAACACTCAAATTGTAGATTAAACCATTGAGAGAAACTAGTTTTAAGGTTGAGATATGCTTCCTAAACCTAGTTTTCCCAGATTTATTTGTGTGGCCTATGTCAGTTAGGACTGCATCCACAAAGATATTAGGTGTTAAAACACCTAACCCCTAAATGCTCTGCTGCCTAGTGGACTCCTCTGTTCCATGTTAGGTACTTGGCCTGAAGAGAGTTAGGCATTTAAGGGAGGCATCACCAGAAGACAGCAAATGGAGTGAGAAGCCAGCTAAGCTAACTAGCCATAAAAAGCAGAACTAAAGGGTGGACTTTAGGTCTAGATCTTAAATGTCTAGGTACCATTGAACTTCCACTGAGATGGGCCTTACGTGCAGCTCCTTCCCTCAGGTTTTCTCATCCATGAACCTTCTTCTGCAGTTAGATGCCTAACTCAGGTGAGCTACTTGAGTATCCAGTGTCCTAACAGCTGAACCCCAGGCCTTTCCACCTCCACACCTCACAGAAAAAACAACTTCTGTAATACCCAATGGTTGGTGGTTAAGGCACTTGTGAACTTGAGTTGTAGGTTTAAGTCAAGCAGTGCAGGGACTTGAACCTACATCCCAAGTGAATGCCCTAAGTACACAAACACTTGCCAACCTGTAACCTATTGGAACTGTTCCACTTTTTATTAAATATTAATTGTGACTTGAACCTGGCTCTCCCACATCCCATGTGAATGCCCTAACTGTTTGGCAGTAGTCAATTGCACGCTCTCTCACACTCTCTGAATATTTATTTATACAAAGAGAAACAGTTTC